AGTACTATCCAAAGCAATCTATATGTTCAGTGCAATCCCAGTGCCGATTCCATCAACATTTTTTAAGAATATTGAAAACCAATAACCAATTCTGTATGGAAAGGAAGGAGACCTCGGATAAGCAAAGCACTATTGAAGAACAGAGTAGGAGATCTCACACTCCTGGATCTCAAAACCTACTGTACAGCCACAGTACTCAAAACAGGCTGGTATTGGTATGATAACAGGCACATAGACCAGTGGGATAGAATTGAGAACCCAGAAGTATATCCATCAACCTATGGTCAGCTGATCTTTGATAGAATGAAATCATTCAGTGGGAAAGAGATAGTCTCTTCAACAAATGGTGCTGGCAAAACTCGATATCCATTTGCAGAAAAATGAAACAAGATCCATACCTCACACCATACACAAAAACTAACTCCAGATGGATCAAAGACTTAAATGTGGAACCTAAAACTACAAAGTTCCTCAAGGGGAAACATAGGGGCAAATTTAGGGGCCCTAATTTAAGACATATATAAACTTACCAGACATCACCCAAAATGTACAAATAGCAGAAGATAAGCTAGATGGTTGGGACCTTCTAAAAATTAAGTTTTTATGTGCTTCAAAAGACTTCTCCAAAAGAGCAAAAAAGGAACCTACAGATTCAGAAAAAAATATTCAGTAACGACATACCTGACAAGGGACTTATCGCTAAGATTTATAGAAAATTCCCAACATCTCAATGACAAAAAGAGAAACAATCCAACTGAAAAATGGGCAGAAGACATGAATAGACACTTCACCAAAGAAGATATTTAGGCGGCCAGCAAGCAAGAAATGTTCATGATCATTAGCCATCAGAGAGATGCAAATCAAAACAACAGTGAGATACCATCTCACTGCAGCACTAATAGCACAGTTCAACAAGACAGAAAATAGCAAATGCTGCCGAGGATGTGGAGAGATTGGGACTCTTATACACAGTTGGTGGGATTGTAAAATGATAAAACCACTGTGGAAATCAGTATGGTGATTCCTTAAAAAGTTGGAATTAGTAATACTATTTGATCCAGCAATCTCATTACTAGGTATATATCCTAAAGAAGTAAGGGCCAGGACAAGAACAGATACATGCACACCCATGTTCATTGCAGCACTATTTACACTAGCAAAGCAATGGAAACAACTTAATTGCCCATCAACAGAAGAATGGATAACCAAACTATGGAATGTTCACACAATGGAATACTACACAACACTAAAGAACGTGTAGAGTCAGTGAGACCTCGTATAACATGGATGAACTTGGAGGACATTATGCTGAGTGAAATAAGTCAATCACAGAAGGACAAATACTATATTAGTTCACTATAGTAAAAAGTCTAGGATATATATATGAAAGGAAACTTGCCTTGTTGCTTACCAAGGACAGGAAGGGAAGGGGAGGGAAAGGGAGGTAACACTGCTAGATATGTAGAGACAAGTATTGATTTGGGTGAAGGGAAGAGCGATGTACCAGAAGTGAGTGATCAACACAGTGACATTGAGGAAGAAGAAGATATAGAGAGGTACATGGGAGGTACAGACAACAAAGATGAACCCTTCTGCATGTATAATACTGCCTTATCAGTGATGGCAAGCATTGAGCAATGGGTGGATAGATAGGTGGACAGGCTGAATGATCAGGTATGTCTAGGCAGGGGTGAGTGTGCCCATGACCATGTATAGGGTTGGCAGACGATGTTTCTATAAGTGTATTTGTACGTGCTGTAGGAATGTCTGGGTGTATAGTAGAGCTGATGAGGGTCGAGGTTGTGGTGGCTTCTTGGCCACAGCCAGCTACCCGTAGGGAGTAAGTAGTTGGACCTGTGGGCTCAGGACCATGTTATAAGGGACATCAAGCTCAAATGGCATAATGTACTACAGAAGAACATTGTTCTACATCCCACTTTGGTGAGTAGCAACTGGGTTTGTTTTTTTTTTTTTAATTAGGATTTGGGTGAAGTTTTTTTTTTGTTTTGTTTTGTTTTTTAATTA